TCAAAGGCCTATGAAACTTTTGTAAACATAGACATGGACTGCAAACCCTACTCATCGTGTACACAGATACAAATTTAAAGAGTCATAAATCACACCTAAAGTTTGAAATAACAAAAAACAGGCACAAATAATTTTTAACTACGTTTTCAGCTAACTCCTGAGATGAAAAGAATTAAAAAAATTAAAAACTTCTTAAAATGAACAACATATCAAACTAGTGAAATGCAGCCAAACTAGTACTCAGAACATTTGTAATTAATTGAAAAATAAAATTGAAAATAAATGAACTAGAGATTTTTGTTTACAATGATGGCAGACTAGGTAAATCAGACTCCTTCTGACAAAAACTAGAAATTCTAGACAAAAACTAGGAAATTGGGACAGATATTTGACAACAGTCAGATCTGTTTAAATGAACTCATTAGAGAATTCTAGGGAAGGACCAGGAAAATAATGAAATCCAGGGATATGAGCCTGCATTTGGAGCTGCCTTCATAGGTATATCTCATTATCCTGGAGTAGGCAAAGGTTGAAAAATGGGGCTTGAAACAAATTAACAGAGCTAGAGAGATTCAAATGGAAAGTCAGAGCCCATCAGATTAGAGGCTCAGTGGCTCAGTAAGCTTTCAGGCATTGGGTTGGGGTACCCTATGAGTAAGAGTGACCCCAAAAATCTAGTAGTCCTAAAAAGATCTAAAACATAGCTTGGAATTACCTGAATCTCTGTTCAGAGATCGATAATGCCGCTAGCCACATGTAGAAGAAAAAAAAAAAAAAGGAAGACCATTTTATAGGAAGATAACATTATTGCTAGGCCTCAAAATATCTCCCCATGTAATATCTGGCTCATATCTTAAAGAGCATAGTTTTAAACAATGATAAATAATAGACAATATAAAAAAATCCACAGGATTGGCCTTTAAAATAACTATGCTTAATATGTTCAGTGAAAACAGACAAAATTTTGAGAATGTTGATAAGGGGATAGGGAACTCTAAAAAAGGAACCAAACAAATTCAGAACTGAAAACATATGGTAATGAAGTAAGACATAACTGAAGAGGGAATTAATGGAATACAGTCCAAGTCTGAAGGAAATAGAGTGAAGATCACAGAGACGAGGAGATAGAAAAATACAGGAAATAATGTAAGAGACATAAGGGAAATAGTGAAAACTAAAATTCATATAACTTAAGCCTGAGAAAGAGAGGACAGAGAGACCTCAATCTGCAGGGTAAGGAAACAGCACGTATCATAAGCTGGATAATACAAAAACAAGCAAACAATCTATATCTAGATACATGGCTATAACATTAAATACAAATTTAAAGACCATTTTTAAAAATGTTCAAAGCAGAAAAATTGTCTTCAAAGAAATAGCAATAAGACATAAACTGACTACTCAACAAATGATGGAAATCAGGAGACAGTGCAATATCTTCAAAGTGCTGAAAGAAGGACTCTTAGTTTAGAATTATGTATCTAGTGAAATGTTTTTCTAGAAGTCAAATTAGTACATTTTCAGATGAAAAGAAATTGAAAAAATTACCAGTAGCAAAATTAAAATCCTAAAAGGATATTCTACAAAAAGAGGGGAAAGGGTAACTAAGGGAGAAAGTGTAATGAATATCACATTAACTATTCTGAAACAATGTTTCTAAAGTATTTGTAGGGAATTAAAATACAAAGCAGCAATATCATAAATTTGGGAAAAGGGTAAATACAGTTAAGGTATTCTCAGGTTTCAGCATTGCCCAAAAGCAATAGAATACTTATTTATTTTAGAGTTTTGTTAATTCTCTGTGTGTGTTTTAATCTCTAGGGTAGACCGTGAAAGTAAAGGATCATATAACTGCCAAGTTAATAAAGTAGAAAAATAGAATAATAAAAAGTAACCAATATAGAACAACAGGAACTCTTAGTCATTGCTGGTGGGAAAGCAAAATGTACAGTCACCTAGGAAGACCATTTGGTGGTTTCTTAAAATATGAAACATCATCTTACTATAACAATTCAGCAGTCATACTCCTTGGTATTTACCTAAAGGAATTGGAAACTTATGTCTACACAAAAACCTGCACATGAATGTTTATACTGCCTTTATTCACAATCGCCAAAACTTGGAAACAACCAAGATGTCCTTCAATAGGTGAATGGATAAATAAACTGTAGTACATCCAGCCTATGGAATATTACTCAGCAATATTAAGAAATGAACTATGAAGCTATGAGAGGATATGGAGGAACCCTAAACATATTACTAAGTGAAAGCAGTCAGTCTGAAAAGGCTACATATTGTATCATTCCAACTACATGACGTTCTAGAAAAGGCAAAACTATGGAGATGATAAAATGATCAGTGGTTGCCAGGAGCTGCGGGGAGGGAAGTGAAGGAAGAGAGGGATGAAAAGGCAGAGCACATAGGATTTTTAGGGCAGTGAAACCGTTCTGTAAGCTGCTATAGTGATGGATACACGTCATTATAGAATGTTTTATAATACTAAGAGTGAACCATAATGTAAACTATAGACTTTGGGTAATGGTGTCAGTGTAGGTTTACCAGTTGCAAAAATGTACCACTCTGGTGGGGAATGTTGATAGTGGGGGAGGTCATGGCAAGGGGGTCAAGGGATATATTAGGGAATCTCTGTACTTTCTGCTCACTTTTGCTATGAACCTAAAACTGCTAAACAATTAAGTCTTTTATAAATAGAGTCATCTAAAATAAACACATTTTTTAAAATAAAAGAAAGCATTAAAGGAGAGAAAATCAAAATAGGGCACATTGGAAGCAAATACTAAGATAGTAGATTTAAGCCCCCAAATAGTAGTAATTATATTAAATTTCAACATATTGGGGCATCTGGGTGGCTCAGTCTGTTAAGCATCTGACTCTTGATTTCGGCTCAGTTCATAATCTCACAGTTTGCAAGATCGAGCCCCACGTCAGCCTTTGTGGTAAGTGTGGAGGCTGCTTGGGATTCTCTCACTCCCTCTCTCTGTCTCTGCCCCTCCCTTGCTCATGCTCACTCTCTCTTTCTCTCTCAAATAAGTAAACCTAAAAGCCAAAAAAAAAAAAACCCAAAAAACAAAAAAAAACCTGGGCAGACAACATTAACAGATATTTCCTCAAAAAAGACATACAGATGCCCAACATCTGAAGAGGCTCAACATCACCCATCATCAGGGAAATACAAATCAAAACTACAATGAGATATCACCTTATACCTGTCAGAATGGCTAAAATCAAAAATACAAGAAACAGGTGCTGGCAGTGATGTGGAATCCTTGTGCACTGTTGGTGGGAGCACAAGCTGGTGCGGCAACTGTGGAAAACCGTATGGAAGTTCCTCAAAAAAGTAAAAATAGAACTACCCTACCATCCAATAATAATAATACTGGGTATTTACCCATAGAATACAAAAACGCTAATTCTAAAAGATAATATGCGGCATCCTGTGTTTATTGTAGCATTTTTTACTGTAGCCACATTATAGAAGCAGCCTAAGTGTCCATTCATAGATGAATGGATAAAAACGATGTTGTAGATAAAGACAACGTAATATTATTGAGCCATAAAAAAAGAATGAAATCTTGCCATTTGCAGTGACATGGATGGAGCTAGAGTTGCTAAGTGAAATGAGTCAGAGAAAGACAAATACTGTATGATTTCACTCATGGAATTTAAGAAACAAAACAAATGAACAGTGGGGAGAAAAAGAGATAAACCAAGAAACAGACCCTTAACTATAGAGAACAAACTGGTGGTTACCAGAGGGGAGATGGGTGGGGGGATAGGTGAAATAGATGATGGGGATTAAGGAGTGCACTTGTGATGAGAACTGAGTAATGTATGCAGTTGTTCAATTCCTGTATTGTACACCTGAAACTAATATAACACTGTTAACTATACTAGAACTAGAGTTAAAAATTGAATAAAAGTGAAAAACATAAAATACTAGAAATATTTTAAAATATGAACCTTTGTGTTATTGATAATTCTAAATACTTTTAAAATTTTTAACTAGGAAATAATTAGCAAATTCTGTACTTTCCTTAGGGAGTAATTTCTTGTTGTTCCTAAATTATCCAAACTGTATTTGATGAACTTTGTTTTCAGTAAATATATTCTAAATATTAAATTGAAGTTTTCTAGTTTCAATGGAGATTTTTTAATATCAGTAGATAATTGTCTTTATTTTAAATAGGTGGATGCAGTTTCTTTGGGAAACTTGCCATGAGATATGTTTATTATAAATGACATTTCTGCTTATAATTGTATGAGTTAAGGGTTTTCAGTTTCTCCGATATTACAGTTTTTTTTTTCTTCCTCTTAGGTTTTAAAATAAAACACTTAATCTGTCTTTTTAGATGTACCTTTCTATAACTTTTTTTTGGTAGCTGTTTAAAACATAATACATATGTGTAATTTACTTTAATGTTAACATTAAAATTGAATTTAAGGCTTTCAGAGTTATGCTCTAGCTGAATACTGTGCCTCTACTAATAGTCTTAATTTCATAACCAGCAACAATTTTATTCTGTTTATTAACTGGATCTAGTAAGTCAACTGAGATTTATGAAATGCAATGGAAAAAATAAATAATTCTACAGAATTTTATATCACATTTCCTTTTAATTGACTAGATGAAACCATTGTTGTATTTACATTTCTGAATGGCTTTTTCATCTATTAATAGGGTGTAATATCTGAATTTTACCTGTTTGAAAAATTTAATCTTTCTAGGACAAACTGAATTATGCTTGAATTAATTATGACAATTTAGTGCGTTTGAAATTGTTATATTTTTACACTTGTAGTGCAGTATTTAATGGTGATTAAAACTTCTAATTTTTGAGGGCTACTTAAAAATGACTTTTGTGTGAAGAACTTTCATTTTAAAGAATGATTTCTGACCAAAATGTTTTTTTAGTTGATTCTGAAAGTGATTACTGCTAGTAAAATGAATTTATATTACTATTGTGTTAACTTTTCTGAAGGTTGCACAGTGAATTAAAAGATGCTGTTGAAAAGCAACTGGAGACCCTTCCCTTTGGCACAGATATGGGAAATGATATATATGCAGATGATGAAACAGTCAGGAATCTTCAAGAACAATTACAACTAGCCAATCAAGTGAGTGACATATATTTTTAAAATTTTATTCTGAATTAACAGAATTTTTTAAATCTCTGTTAATCATTATTTATGAATGATAATAGTGGAACAGCAAAATTAATACATACTGATTTTCTACAAGATACATTTAACAGCTAACAAAACGTATAATATATACCCTCCCTAATTGTTATAAATATAGTTACAAAATGTATGTTTTAATTGAATCATAAAGCTTTTGATGTGATTTTTATGTCTTATTAAAATATTTTAATTCCCAAGAAAATTTTTAAAATTATTCACTCACCTAAATTTACATTTTTCATTTTTCTGTGTTTAATTTTCATACTGTGTTCTCTTCAGTTATCTAAGATCATAGAATTATATTTTTTCAAAATTATACTTCTCCAAGTTACTTTCTCTCCTTTTGTCCTCCCTCATAGTAATTGAAATATTTGTTTTATATATATATATACACACACACACACGTATGTATTTGTTATATATATATATATATGTATATATATGTATTTGGTATACGTATATATATGTATTTGGTATACGTATATATATGTATTTGGTATACATATATATATATATATATATATAATACATACATATATCCTGTTTTCTACAGTGAACATTTTTGTGATTATACATAAAGGAGTTTAATTTTAATTTATAATTTTCTATTCTAGGCATCTCATAACTTGTATGGATTTGAATCTCATTCTACTTTCTACTTACGTGCCTCAGTTTCCTCATTTATAAATGGAGATTACAAATTCTTTATTGTGATTTTGATTATATAGTTGTCCATGAAAAATCACTTTTTTTATATCCTAGAAATTTGGTTTTAAAATTTTTATACTTGTGAAATTGAGAATTTAATCAGGCAGACTATATGTACCTTGATAAAGGAGCATGTATTTAACTCTGATTTTATTTTTTTAATGTGTAAAGGGAAGGAATTTGAAAAAGCGTGCTCTTTAAAATTTTTTTTTTTTCAACGTTTATTTATTTTTGGGACAGAGAGAGACAGAGCATGAACGGGGGAGGGGCAGAGAGAGAGGGAGACACAGAATCGGAAACAGGCTCCAGGCTCTGAGCCATCAGCCCAGAGCCCGATGCGGGGCTCGAACTCACGGACCGCGAGATCGGGACCTGGCTGAAGTCGGATGCTTAACCGACTGCGCCACCCAGGCACCCCACGTGCTCTTTACTCTGTTCAAACTAGTATTATCAGGATTTCTAAATATTTATATAGAAATGAATGAAAATTAATTGAAGCTTATGAATGCTTTCTAACCAGGTAGCAAAAGCTGATGCACAATGTACAATTCTCAGTAGTCCTTAATAGATTGTGGTAGCCCATACGTAAAACAACCCTCTGTTAACATACCTTAAGTATATACAATGATTATTTGTCAATCATACTTCAGTAAAACTGAAAAACAAGAACTAGAAATTGGAGAGGGAGAAGTTAAGATGGCAGAGAAGTAAGGGGACTGGGATTTTCCTTGTCCCTCAAACATAGCTCTATTTCGGTCAGATCACTTGAACATCCAGGAAATAGATATGCAGAGTGGCAGAAGTATCTCCACAGTTGTAGGGAGACAGCTTGGCAGATTCCAAGTACATGTATGTGAATTGGGGGAGATAAAACGGCATAGGCACAGAGGGGAGGGAACCCCTTCTGTGGAGAGAAAAAAGGGAGAGAAAGAGAGGGGCTGTGAAATTCCAATGTCAAATTAGCACAAAAGGAAAACTTCTCTGGACCACAGACTGGGGAACAAAAAATATGGAGAGTACCAGGTTCTATTTCGCAAAAAAGCCTTAGAAGCTGAAACAAGGAGATTTCAAAAGTGTGTGGCTTTCTGTGGAACCAAGCTGGAAGCCTTGGCTCATGCTTCTGGGGAGGAGGAAGCCAGCTCCAAAGCACATAGCATGGTGTAGAATCTCAGAGGAGTACTGGGAGAGAACAGTCCCCTTCTTGGAGTACTTTGTGAATACGGTATATTGCCTCCCCAAGGAAAAGAGACCCTGCAGGTGCCAGCCAAAGGCCTTTTAAATCAGCAGGGTCGGGTGGCTCTACTCCAGAACGGGGGAAAGGAGTCCCACTGAGCTGGGTCCTTTGAGACTTTGGGTTATGAATCCCAGCTGAGCACTTAGAAGGTGCAGGAACTGTGGGTCAGGGCAAGCTGACTCCCCTAACTATTCTGTGAGGACTGCCTGAACAGTGTGGGTTGAGATACCCAGTCCAGGGAAGAGAGATTGGGGGGTTGACATTTTTCTCCCCAACACCAACACCAACACAGTGGGACTTAAGAGAGCACCTCAGTGGCCCCTAGTGGAGGCGAGACCAGCTTACACCAAACTCTGCCCATATGGCAACTGCTTACTTAATGGAGGAAGACTGACTGATACAACACAGCTGGCCTCTCCTCCAGACCAGCACAGCCACTGGTCCCCGGCACCAACACACAAGTGTTTCTTTTTGTTTGTTTTTCCGTTTGTTTTCCTTATTCTTTTCTTTTTCTTTCTCTTCCCTCTTTTATGTTTCTTTTGGAATCAGGCTCAAAGTTACTGATTTGTTTTTGGTCAATTCTTATATACATATATATATGTGTGTGTGTGTATAAATAATAATATATTATATATATATAATATATTATTAGTCATTTTTATTCTGTTCTTTTTCCACCTTCTCTCTTCTTCTTTATTTTCCTCTCTCTCTCCCTGAATTTAGCCTTATAGTTTTTTGATTCTCTATTTGGATTTCTTTTCTCCCTTTTCATTTTTCTCTTTTTATGGGATAAGACTTCCACCCTCTTTCCTTTTTTGGGGGGTGAGTTGGTTACTTCATCAAAAACATTAAAGCACATCTGGTTGAAGGCCCACACATTCCGCCACTACAAGCAAAGAGGAGCTCTGCACAGTACTGATCACTAGGATGAGCAGCCAAAATGTACAACAGAGTGCACACCACATATACCAAAAATACCTGGAGTGCCAGGCCTGGATAGGGTATGACCCCTTTTTAATATAGTAGTACACTCAGGTGCAGGACACAGAAGAAGCTTTTAAAACACAAAACACAGAAACTTAGCCAAAATGACAAAACGGAGGAATTCTCCCCAAAAGAGAATTCAAGATTTCTTCAAGAAGAAAGCAAGGCCAGAGAATTGTTCAAAACAGATATAAGTAATATATCTGAACAAGAATTTAGAATAACAGTCATAAGACTAACAACTGGGCTTGAAAAAAGCATAGAAGACACCAGAGAAACTCTTGTTGCAGAGATCAAAGACCTAAGAACTAGTCATGATGAATTAAAAAATGCTATAACTGAGATGCAAAATAAACTAGAAACAATGACAGCGAGAATGGAAGAAGCAGAGGAGAGACAAAGTGAAATAGAAGATAAAATTTTGGAAAATAAGCTGAAAAGAAAAAGGCAGGGGGGAGGAAATTACTAGATCACGAGGGGAGAATTGGAGACCTAAGTGATTCCATGAAATGAAACGAGTGTCCATATCATAGGAGTTCCAGAAGAAGAAGAGTGAGAGAAAGGGGCAGGTTTATTTTAACAAATTATAGCTGAAAACTATCCTAATCTGGGGAAAGAAACAGGCATCCAAGTCCAACAGGCACAGAGAACTCCCTTCAGAATCAACAAGAACAGGTCAACACCATGACATATCCTAGTGACTCTGGCAATATACAAAGATAAAGAGAGAATTCTGAAAACAGCTAAGGACAAACGATCCTTAGCCTACAAGGGTTGACACATAAGGGTAGTAGCAGACTTGTCCACTGAACCTTGGAAGGCCAGAAGGGAGTGGCAGGAAATATTCAACATGCTGGATAGGAAAATTATGCAGCCAAGAATCCTTTATCCAGCAAATCTGTCATTCAGAATAGAAGGGGAGAAAAAAAAGAGTTCTCCAGACAAAAAGAAAACTAGAGGAGTTTGTGATGACTAGACCAGGCCTACAAGAGATCCTAAGGGGTACTGTGTGTGTGGAAAGCAGCAAAGACTACAGAAGGACCAGGGATATCACCACGAACATCAAATCTACAGAAAACACAATGGCACTAAATTCATATCTTTCAACAATCACTCTGAATGTAAATGGACTAAATGCCCCAATCAAAAGACATAGGGTTTCAAGATGGATAAAAAACAAGAGCCATCAATATGCTGCCTACAAGAGACTCCTTGAAAGTGAGGGGATGGAGAACCATCTATCATGCTAATGGACGTTGAAAGAAAGCCAGAGTAGCCATACTCTCATCAGACAAACTAGATTTGAAAAGAAAGACTGTAACAAATCAAAAAAGGCATTATATCATAATTAAAGGTTCTCTGCACCAAGAAGTTTTAATAATTGTAAATATGCCCCCAGTGTGGAAGCACCCACTTATATAAATCTATTAATCACAAACAGAAGCAAATTTACTGATAAACACCGTAATTGTAAGAGACTTTTATACACCACTTACAACAATAGACAGATTATCTAGGCAGAAAATCAGTACAGAAACAATGTCTCTGAATGACACATTGGACCAGGTGGACTTAACAGATATATTCAGAATTTTTCATAATAAAGCAGAATACACATTCTTCTCGAGTGTGTAGAATGGAACATTCTCCAAAATAGATCATATATTGGGTCACAAAACAGCCTCAAAAGGTACAAACAGATTGAGATCATACCGTGCATATTTTCAGATCACAACACTATGAAACTTGAAAGCCCCCAAATACATGGAGGTTAAAGAACATGCTACTTAAGAATGAATAGGTTAAACAAAATTTAAAAAGAAACTTAAAAATACGTGAAAGCAAGTGAAAATGAGAACACAACAGTCTAAACCCTTTGGGATGCAGCAAAGGCAGTCCTAAGAGGAAAATACATTGTAATTCAGGCCTATCTCAGGAAGTCAGAAAGGTCCCAAATACACAACCTAACCTTACACCTAGAAAAGCTGAAGCAAATAAAGCCCAAAGCCAGCAGAAGGGCAATAATAAACATTAGAGCAGAAATAAATAGAATCCAAAAGAAAACAGTAAAACAGATTAATGAAAGTAAGAACTGACTTTTTGAAAGAATAAAAAAAATTGATAACCCCCTAGCCAGACTTCAAAAAGAAAAGAGAGGGGATCCAAATAGATACAATCACAAATAAAAGAGGAGAGAGTAAAACCAACACCACAGAAGTACAAGTGTAAGATGATGCTATGAAAAACTATATATGCCAATAAACTGGACAATCTGGAAGAAGTGGACAAATTCATAGACACTCATATACTACCAAAACTCAAATGGGAAGAAATAGAGAACTTGAACAGACCAGTGAAGAAGTGAATGGGTTATCAAGAATCTCCCAACAAAAGAGTCCTGGGCCAGATGGCTTCCTAGGGGAATTCTACCAGACATTCTACTCAAGCTGTTCCAAAAAATACAAATGTAAAGAAAGTTTGCAGACTCATTCTATGAAGTCAGCATTACCTTACCTTGATTCCAAAACCAAAATCCCCACTAAAAAGGAGAATGACAGGCCAATATCCCTGATGAACCTGGATGCAGAAATTCTCAACAAGATGGTAGCAAATCGAACTCAATAGTACATTAAAAGAATTATTCACCATGAACAAGTGGGATTCATTCCTAGGCTGCAGGGTTGGTTCAATATTTGCAAATCAATCAATGTGATACACCACATTAATAGAAGAAAGGATAAGAACTATATGATCCTGTCTACAGATGCAGAAAAGGCATTCAACAAAACATGGCATCCTTTCTTGATAAAACCCTCACAAAACTCGGGATAGAAGGAACATATCTTAACATCATAAAAGCCATATAGGAAAGACCACAGCTAATATCATCCTCAATGGAGAAAAACCAAGCTCTTTCCCCCTGAGATCAGAAATAACAGGGATGTTCACTCTCACCAATGTTGTTCAGTGTAGTGTTGGAAGTCCTAGCCTCAGCAATCAGAGAACAAAGCCAAATAAAGGCATCCAAATTGGCAAAGAAGCCAAACTTCCACTCTTCACAGATGACATGATTCTCTACATAGAAAATCTGCAAGACTCCACCAAAAACCTGCTAAAGCTGATACATGAATTCAGCAAAGTCACAGGATATAAAATCAATGTGCAGAAGTCGGTTGCATTTCTATACACCAATAATGAAGCAACAGAAGGAGAAATCAGGGAATCAATCCCATTTACAACTACACCAAAAACCATAAAATACTTAGGAATAAACCTAACCAAAGAGGTAAAAGATCTGTATGCTGAAAACTATAGAAAGCTTATGAAAGAAATTGAAAAATATCCAAACAAATGGAAAAACATTCCATGCTCATGGAATGGAAGAATAAATATTGTTAAAGTGTTGATGCTACCCAAAGCAATCTAGACATCCAGTGCAATACCTCTCAAGATAACACCAGCATTCTTCACAGAGCTAGAACAAACAGTCCTAAAATTTGTATGAAACTACAAATAGCCAGAGTAATGTTGAAAAAGAAAACGAATTGGGAGCATCACAATCCTGGACTTCAACTTGTATTACAAAGCTGTAATCATCAAGTCAGTATGGTATTGACATAAAAACAGACCCACAGATCAATGGGATAGAATAGAGAACCCAGAAATGGACCCACAAATATAGCAATCTTCAACAAAGAAGGAAAGAGTATCCAATGGAAAAAAGTCTCTTTAGCCAACGGGTCTGGTAGAACTGGGCAGCAACATGCAGAAGAATGAAACTGGGCTACTTTCTTACACCGTATACAAAAATAAACTCAAAATGGATGAATGACCTAAATGTGACACAGGAAACCATCAAAATACTATAGGTGAAAACAGGCACCAATGTCTTTGACCTAAGCCACAGCAACTTCTTATTTGACATGTCTCCAGAGGCAGGGAAATAAAAGCAAAAATGAACTATTGGGACCTTATCAAGACAAAAAGCATCTGCATAGCAAAGGAAACAGTCAAGAAAACTAAAAGACAACCAACAGAATGGGAAAAGATATTTGCAATTGACATCTCAGATAAAAAGGGTTAGTATCCAAAATCTATAAAGAACATCTCAAACTCAACACCCAAAAAACAAATAATCCAGTGAAGAAATAGGCAGAAGACATGAATAGACACTTCTCCAAAGAAGACATCCAGATGGAAACAGACACATGAAAATATGCTCAAGGGGTACCTAGTGGCTGAGTTGGTTAAGCGTCTGACTTTGGCTCTGGTCATGATCTCATGGTTCGTGAGTGCAAGCCCCACCTCAAGCTCTATGCTGACATCTCAGAGCCTGGAGCCTGCTTTGGCTTCTGTGTCTCCCTCTCTTTCTGCCCCTCCATCACTCATGCTCTGTCTCTCTGTCTCAAAAATAAATAAACATTAAAAAAAAATTAAGCAAAGAAAAGATGCTCAACATCATTCATCCTCAGGGAAACACAATCCAAATGAGATACCACCTCCCACTGGTCAGAATGGCTAAAATTAACTCCAGAAACAGCAGATGTTGGCGAGGATGTGGAGAAATGGGAACCCTCTTGCACTGTTGGGGATACAAACTGTTGTAGCCACTCTGGAAAACAGTATGGAGGTTCCTTAAAAAATTCAAAATACAAATACTGTACAACCCAGCAATTGCACTGCTAGGAATTTATCCAAAGACACAGAAATGCTGATTCAGAGGGGCACATGCACTCCCATGTTTACAGCAGCACTATCAACAATAGTTCATGAGTTGAAGCCCCGCATTGGGTTCTGTGCTGACAGCTCAAAGCCTGGAACCAGCTTCAGAATCTGTGTCTCCCTCTCTCTCTGCCCCTCCCCTGCTCATGCTCTGTCTCTCTCTCTCAAAAATAAACATTAAAAAAAATTAAAAGGTTAAATTTTAGCTATGAAATAATAAAAAAATTTCAACATAAGAAATTTCATCTTTGGGTTCTTTAAATTGTTATTAACACAAGTGCATATCAGGGCATCTGGGTGGCTCAGTCGGTTGTGTCTAGACTCTTGATTTCAGTTCAAGTCATGATTTCAGGATCATGGAATCGGGTGCTGCATTGATGCCCAGCATGGAGCCTGCTTGAGAGTCTCTTCTCCTTCTCCCCCTGCCCTTCCCCCTGGCAAGAAAAAAAAAAAAAAAGATTAAAAAAAATACAAAGTGCATATCATCAAAAATAGTACGACTATACCATCTTTACACAGTCTTATTTATATTTTCGTGACTTTATGTATAAGAATTCATTCTGTAAAAGAATATGATTCATTTGTACTGTGTAATAGCCTACTAATAATTTAGTGAATTCTTGATTCTTTTTGTTTTATAGGAAAAAACTCAGGCTGTGGAACTCTGGCAGACTGCTTCTCAGGAGTTGGACAGACTTCAGAGACTTTACCAGGAATATATGACTGAGGCCCAGATTCATGTAGTTGAAAGTCAAAAACAAAAGGTAATCTTGGATTTCATAGTTTTCTTACATATCAGTTTTCATAGTTTTCTTATATATCTTCATTCTGGAGAAACTCAGTTTTGAAGAGGAATGCCTAAGTGTCCATTGTGTTATATATGTTAAATAGATCTTTGCTGATTAGATATTTCTTGGACAGTTAGTCAAAGCAGTGCCTATTGTACATTAGGTTTTATAATATAAATTAGCAATGGAAGCTGTATTTAGTTCTAAGAAGCAGGTATAAGATGATTCTGTATAAATGGACCCCCAAACTTTTATATTGTTAATTTCCTACCTTGCTTAAGACAGAAACTATTCATTAGATCATGGCCAGTGAAGAAACCTGCTCAAATATAGTGACAACGTCATGTAAGATGAAAATATTAACACCCTTAATGTGACCTCTAAGATAGGTATCAAGTGTTTTAGCATAAGTTAATCAGATTAGAGTTTTATAATAGGAAGAGATCTTATTAAGGCATTCTTTCTATCCAAAGAATGATTTTTATATTGTCAAAGTGGACATTAAGCTTTTGCTGTATACCTCTGTTGACATGAACTTACCATGTCACAAGACCATCCATTCCTTGAAAAATCTGCCTCCTTTATCCTTCCATTGATTCTTTTTCTGCTGGGAACATTGACAGTTGTAGAGTAATCCCAATTCTGATTCCTTTTCTGTGGGTTTTGAGAAGGCAGCTATGTAAATACATTGGTTATCACGCCTTTCTTTAATTCTCATTTATGGACTTTTCAAATTCCAGTTTAAGATTGTTCCTATTATCATCAGCATTATTGGGAATTTTTACCTAAAGGAGTCATAATAATGCTTACATGATGCTTTGCACGTTATAAAATGATTTTTCTATATATTCCCTGGTTTGCAAATAACCCATATGTAGTCTGAGCCATAAGACGTTTACCTCTGAGAGAAGGGGAGCGGGGAGAATGGGAAAAATGAGTGAAGGGGAGTGAAGAGGAGATACAGGCTTCCAGATATGGACTGAATAAGTCACAAGAATAAGAGGCACATTATAGGGAATATAGTCAGTGATATTATAGCAACATTGTATGGTGACAGGTGGTAGCTATACTCATGGTGAGCCATAGCACAATGTATAGAGAAGTTGAATCACTTCTCTATTGTGTTGGTTGTATACTTGAAACTAATGTAACATTGTGTGTCAACTATACTCAAAAGTGTGGGGGCGCCTGGGTGGCTCAGTCAGTTGAGTGACTGACCTTTGATGTCAGTTCAGGTCATGATCTCAGAGTCATGGAATTAAGCCCCATGTAGGGATCTACACTGAGCTTGGAACCTGCTTAAGATTCTCCCTCCCAGCCACTCTCTCCCTCTCCCCACCCCTCTCTTTCTTTCTCTCTGTGTCAAAAAAAAAAAATTGAAAGTGTGTCTGTGTATGGATGTGTGTATATAGATAGATAGCATTTTATCAAAAAGAAAAGGCTTTTACTTCTGAGATCTAGAAACCATTTCTAATACAATCTAGTTCTTTGAGGCTGTTTTCCTCATTTAGGTCAATCTACTAAGTCCTGTGTTATTTACCTTTATTCTTGTACTGTAGCTATGCAGTTAGTTTTCTTTTTTTGAACAAGACTTTACAAATAATACTTTGTCCTTATTTCCCCAGTTATCTATCAGTCTTTACTTCTGTCATCCAATATATTAACAGCCCCTTCCAATTTTGTGTCCCCTGCACATACTGTGTTTAACAGGATAACAGATAATGACATAACTTAAAAATTCAAGCCATGAGAATTTTAAAAGGGGGATAGAGGGACAATAATTCCTGTGCCAGGGTTTTATGTTATAGGTTTTGAGTAGGTTTGAATGCAGTTTTCCAAAATTATGCAATGTCTCTCTTAGCATGTCTATTTACTAATAAACCAATTTTTAGAAATAGTGGTCTTACATAAAAAATAAATACATTCATTTTTTTGTAATCATTTTTAAAAGTTTTTGTCTTATTTCTTCAACTGTTAATTCACACAATAACAGAAAGGCAAGTAATTTCATCTAAACTTAGGCACAATGAATTTAGACTTGATTTTAGGTTAATTTTACATACAGGTTATGTCTGTTGTACAGAATGCTATTTATGTACACTTCTACCTTCCTACTATAGGATCAACTGACCAATTTTCAACAACTGACCAAGCAACTTTATGTTGCTAATGAGAACATAGAAATGGTAAGTGAAAGTATCCATTTAGTGTGCTTGTTTATACAAACTAGAAATTGTCACTATAAATATTATTTATGCTAATAAAAATCAGTAACAGAAAATCCTGTGTTACGTTGAAATTAAGATAAGTAGGCAGTCCTCTTTTTTATCTTTTACATTCAATAGCTGACAGAATTCACAAAACTTACTGGAGATCTAAAGCTAAAATCTCTCTGAAATACCACCTAATCTAATGGTTATCTTAGGGTTCTAGGTAGGCTCTCCTGAGAGTATTCTAGGCTGTGAGCTTCTCAAGAGTATGACTCATGCTTTATTCTTTCTTTTTTCTTTTCTTTCTTTTTTTTTTTTAACATTTATTCATTTTTGAGAGACAGAGAGTGCAAGCAGGGTTGGTACAGAGAGAGAGAGAGAGACAGAATCCAAAGCAGGCTCCAGGCTCTCACCTGTCAGCACAGAGCCCGACATAGGGCTCGAACTCACCGCAAGATCATGACCTAAGCTGAAGTCAGACGCTCAACCGACTGAGCCGCTCAGGCACCCCTCTCATTCTTTATTCTTACCATTTCGTGTAGCACACTGCTAGGTATATAATAAGAATTGTAGAACTGTTAAATAAACTAATAGACCAATTTCTTAAAAATAATGGGACGTTAAGGATCATTTGTTAGTGGATTGACCACCAGTATTATTTGGTATATCTAAATTTCCCTTTAATATTTTTCTAAAAGAAATGTAATTAGCCTTCCTAATTCTACTCTTTACCTTTTTTCTCCTCTCACTTTTCTTTTTCTCTTCTTTTGTCTCCTTTTCTTTTCCTTTCTTCTTGGAATTTTATTTTACCTCATTGTTGAGTAATATAATTATGACATCCCAGGTAATTCCTCTCTTTCCTTTCTTCATTTTGCTTAGTTACTCTGCTAATTCTTGTTAGTACCTAGTGAAAATGTCTTTGTTTAAGAGTGGAGTTGTGCCATCAAAAGTAAGTTATCTAATTTTTTCTACCTTTCAAAATTTTCTCCTTTAACCATGCAAAAAATTATTAAATAAATTTTGCCTTATTTAGCTTCTATTTTTTAATCACTTAAAGTTTTTGATGATATACTTCTTAGACATTTTAAAAATAATATTAAAAGTTCTCCAGAACTAAATGACTAATATCCATAATCAGGAAATCATATTTCTGCATGAAATCAGTAGTTTAACCTATTATCACAATTATTCATTCTTTCAGTATATCTCCTAGAATTTCAGGGATTATATAATCCTCTGTTACCTTATACCACAGAGCTCCTATTTTATTATAAGCAACCCAAAATCATTATGATAAAAGTCATGGGAAGCAAATATTTGAGTATTCATAGGAAATGCATTAAAAATTTTCTAAGACACAAGAATTCATAGATTTTAGCCAAAAGTGATAAAGGAATGACAAGATGGGTATAAGAGATGAAAGAGAGAGAGCAAAGAAGAGGCTGTCTTGGTGGTTAAGGTAAAGGAAAATGGTAAAAGAAATTTTGAAACTTAAGAATTTGTCTTAATGTACCTATCAGGTGGCAAACAAGACTGCTAAATGTGAAGAGACATAGCTAACTGATTGTAAAGATTTTGTATGTCTCAAAGAGCATTCAGAGCATAGGCATAGGAGCACGTTTGAGTAAAAATCAGACTTGAAGAAAAGTACCCTTTAAAAATCAAGCAGTTCCATAAAAAAGTTTCCTGAATTCATAATAAGCTGATTAATGGAATCAGTCCCTATGATGTACAGTAAATTGGTGAGTATACAAGAAGTAATTATCTTTCATGACCAGTGCACTTTTGTAACATATGGAAGTGATGTGAATGATACGTAAAAGTACAAGTTTATATTTATTTATTACAAGTATATATTTATTTATATAATAGTAGGTGATATTTCCTAGAGGTTCTCTTAGTGAAATAATATTCTTTTTTGAGATTTGTTCATCTCTATAAAATTACTCAAAAATATTTGCTAATTGCATATTAAGTTCCTTTCACTGTTAAAGGTTGCAAGAGAAATGTGCATCTAACCATAAATTCCTGTCCTACTTGGTAAAACAGGATGACATATGAAATAATCATGATTGATGATTGAAAGGGATGCCTCCTTGGACCTTTATGAATCTTCAAACTCTAGAATGTTAATATAGTATTTAATTTTCTTTGTAATGACAAATACAAAACACCAAAGCCATATTCAGTTGCAGTTGTTGAGCTCTACTAGGCTTTTTAGCAAATCAAGTGTGTTAGTTTCTAACACTAGCTTTTTATAATTCACAGTTTCAATTTATAATTCTCCTAATTGCTCTATGTCATTTATTTTTAAGGTGTTCCCAACTGGTAAAAGACACAAGCATTAATTATGTTAATGCTAAGACAGTGTATGTAATAAAACATTAATGGTGCATTACAGACATAGAAGAATTCAGAAATGTGAATCAGTTTGGACTGAAGTCATTGAGATTGCTTGACAGGAGAATTTGAAATGATATTAAAAGTCATCTATTTCCTCAAATGACATAGGCATCTTTCATTAAATGCTTTTCAGTTAAATGATCATCTAGCCTATGCTGTAGCTATTCCTTGTAAGAGATTTATCACTTCCCCAAAGAGTCTGTTCTTTTGAATTCTGATTATTAGAAAACTAAAATCTTCATAAATTTCCTCCCATTGGTATGTGATTTTATCTTTTGGAGTAACATAGAACAAGCTCACTTCTTCAAGTCAACCCTTCAATTATTTACATGTAACCATTAGGTCTTTCCTGATTCATGCCCAGTGCTGCACCCAGTTTGTTCGTTTTAACTATTCTGATATGGTATAATTTACCTACCTTTCATAATTCTAGCCTTCTTTTCCTATGTGTGATAGTTGGCCTCTTAAATTATGGTCTGTGAATGGACCACTAAATTCTGGTCTGCAGTAGTCTGCTTCCCAAAATAAAGAAAGATGCAGTCTTCAAACTCTTCCATGTTTCAATGGAGACATTCATTCATTTATTCCTTAAAGGTTTAGGTACTTAGAATGTACTAAATCATGTGGCATTCACTGAGGATTCTGGGAGAAGGTGGTCTTCAATAAATGACTCATATTTTCACCAGGAATACATGAACTTTAAATATAATGTTTGAATATAATGTGATGTGTATTGTAAAAATGCATATAAAATTTTATCAAAATATAGAAAGGAAACAATTATTTCTGTCTTAAAGTGAGTGGGCCACACAGGATGTGAGAGGGATAAATGATGGCAGGATGGAATTCTGATTTCAGGAAGAAATAAAATAGTGTATTAAAAATATGAAGTCCGTGGGGCACATCTGTGGCTCAGTCAGTTGAGCGTCCAACTTCAGCTCAGGTTGTGATCTTAAGGTTTTTGAGTTCAAGATCCATGTTGGGCTCACTGCTGGCAGCACAGAACCTGCTTTGGCTCCTCAGATCCCTCCCTCTCTCTCTGCTCCTTCCCTACTCACACTCTCTTAAGAAAGAGAGAGGAAGGAAGGAAGGAAGGAAGGAAGGAAGGAAGGAAGGAGAAAGACGGAAGGAGGGAGGGAGGGGGAGTCAATGAAATTGAATAGAATATGATAGAAGCACAATGAAAACTGCTTTGGGGAGAAGCATTTGGACAGATGTATGTATGATTTGTTGGGATGGGAAGAAACTGAAATCAAGACTATGCATTATGAAGTAACTGGAGTCTGTATGACTTTACCTATAAGGCATATAGATAAAGATGATAAGGATAAGGGATCTGTGCCTTTGTGATAAAACCAGCACTTACAGAAGAAAATCAATTTCCTTAAAAAAAGTTTTTTCTACAGTTGGAAGACTGTTACATATCTTACTTTAGGTTCCTTTGCAGGCTAACCCTGAGAAAATGATTCTAAAGCATGTCATTTATTTAGGAGATAATACAAGGGAGCACCAGTAAGGAAATGGGGAAGTGAGACTGGGAAAGGAAGAGAAGGTAGCCAAAGGGTTTTTAAGAATCATGCCAGTTAACACCGTGGGTAACTGAGACTGAATCCTACCAATGAACTCTGGAAGCCTTTGTATAACAGGCTCAGATTTATTCCACCATGGAGCATAGGAGGAGAGTGAGATGTTTACACACCAGTTTTCTTCAGTCATTGTTATCGAGCTCTTCCAGAGCATACTGGGGACATGAATTCTGCAACACCTGTCACGTTCTGGGCAGTTAAGTGAATAAAGGAGGTTCAAATATTCAAGGAAAGACCTAAAACATAGAAAAACAGATGCCCATGGTTTGAAGTGAAGCAGACATCCACTAATGTAGTAAAGGTGAGGAAATATTGCCAAGGTTATATTTTACAGTCAAAAACGCTAATCATTATCATGACTTAATTTTTTCTACTTTTATGCCCTGTAGTTAGTCTTTGAAGATGTAGTTTTAAGTGTTCTAATACTGAACGTTTCTGTTTTTTTTCTTGTGGCAGACTAACCAACACTTTCTGAAAACAGTAACTGAACAAAATGTGGAAATTGAGCAACTCCGAAAACAACTTAGGTAAATTCAAAAATGAATTTTGTTATTTTATTAATAATTTTTTTTCAGGGATGCCTAGTGGCTTAGTTGGTTAAGCCTCTGACTCTTGATTTCGACTCAGGTCGTGGTCTCTTGGTTCATGAGTTCCAACCCTGTATTGGGCTCCATGCTGATAGTGTGGAGCCTGCTTGAGATTCTCTCTTCCCTCTCTCTTTGCCGCTCCTCCACTCACACACATACACACACACACACACACACACACACTCTCTCTCTCTCTCTCTCTCTCAAGATAAATAAATTTTTAAAGAAATTATTTTACTTCAGAGCAAGTGATGATGCCATCATTTTTCCATGAGTTTTCCATGAATTTTTTTCTTCCCTTTTAAGCTTCTCTCAAGGCAGATTGAAATCAAGACAATTAGTGAGGAGGCATCTATTAATATACACATGAAAGGATGTTCCATGATAGTAAAACCAGTGCTTATGGAATAAAATCAGTTCCCTTAGAAACATTTTTTCTGCACATATCTTCTTTGTATTTCCCTGTAATTAGACCCAGAGAAAAGGGTGTCAAAGCATGTAGTTTATTGAAATGTAATACCAGGGAGCACCAGTAGGAGGAAAGTGGAACAGAGAGGAAGACAAGAAAGCCAGTAGAGAGTTTTTAAAAACCAGGCAACTTAGGGGCACCTGGGTGGCTCACTTGGTTAAGCATCCAGCTCTTGATTGTGGCTCAGTCATGATTTCAGGGTTGGTGCAATCAAGCCTGGCATTGGGCTCCAAATGACCAAAACTTTTCATTTTTTTTGTCCCCCTTAATCATAATACTGAAAAGTCAAAAGTATAATCATAATAGGGTTTTGCTCTATGATGCAGTAACTTAGAAATATCTTTAAATTGTAGTATATATTTACATTTTATTAAAAAAATGTAAGTTTCTGTTTGTTAAATGAACCTTGCTATTTATTTCGTTTTTTACACCATCATGTATTTGGCCCCACAAAATAACATTTTGCTATTTTAAAAAAAGAAGAATGCATTTCACAAAATTTTATGCCTTTATCAGCTTTTTAATTTAATTTAAATAAATTTACATTCTTTTCCCCTAGACATTTCTACTCAAGGGCTCTTATTTGGTCCTCTATATTTCTTTTGATAATGATTTTACATTTTAAAATAGTATTCAATCCCAAGATTTTATTTCTCTTTCTTCCAAATGGAAGTGTCTTATTTTAATTATAAAACTAATATAAGTCCATTAGAGAAAACTCTAGATAGTATGAAAGTATACAAGTTACAGTGCAGTTCTGGCACTAACCATGTTTAGTCCAGACTCCACAGATTAAGAGCACAATCCCCAATAAGAACCCTCACTAGGATTCAAGTTTAGGGATCCCTGGGCCACCCACACTCGTGGCCAACTGGCTCCAAATACAAGTGTCCCCACAGTAATTCTCTACAATGTCTAAGGGAACTCAGGAAAGCACTATACTTATGATTAAAATTTTATTATAAAGTTCACAAATCAGAACCAGCCAAAAGAAGAGACCCATTGAGTGAGATCTAGTAAGATCTCAAAATTAGAACTCTCATGACCTCTGCCCATGGAACTAGGGTGCAGCACCCTCCTGGCACATTACTGTGTTCACCAACTAGGAAGCTGACCTAAGCCTTAGTGTCCAGACATTTTATTGTATTTTTATTATATGCCTATGGTTTGTTTTAAATCTAAATAAATTTACTTTTTTAATGATATTTCTCAATGACTGTGTCATCCAATAAAACATTATTTGACTATACTTTTGCAATTTAAATATCATGACTGATTGAATCATTGGCCTTTTGATTGAATTCAATCTGCAGTCTACCTTCTCTCCCTGGAGGTCAAGAAGTCAGGCCTATATTACATGGCTCAAAGCCTCAACTCTCTAATTACCTGATTGCACTTTCCAGCATGGCCCAGCTCCCATTCCTACCTTGTGTCACTTCATTAGCATAAACTCAGACATGGTCCCAGAGGCCTACCTTGGGGGGCCTGCTATGAGGGGAACGTAGTAGTGGTGGGCTTGAAATTTTATTTTATTTATTTTTTAGGTTATTTATAATTTTTTTTTTTTAATTTAAATCCAAGTTAGTTAGCATATAGTGCAACAGTGATTTCAGGAGCGGACTCCATAATGCCCCTTGCCCATTTAGCCCATTCCCCTTCCCACAACCCTCCAGTAACCCTCTGTTTGTTCTCCATATTTAAGAATCTCTGACGTTTCATACCCCTCCCTGTTTCTATATTATTTTTGATTCCCTTCCCTTATGTTTATGTTTTGTATCTTAAAGTCCTCATATGAGTTAAGTCCTAGGATGTTTCTGTTTCTCTAATTTCGCTTAGTGTACATAATACCCTCTAGTTCCATCCATGTAACTGCAAATGGCAAGGTTTCATTCTTTTTGATTGCCAAGTAATACTCCATTGTATGTATACACACCACTTTTCTTTATTCATTCATCCATCGATAGACATTTGGGCTCTTTTCATACTTTGGCTATTGTTAGTGCTGCTATAAACATGGGGGTGCATGTGTTCTTTGAAACAGCATACCTGTATCCCTTGGCTAAATGCCTAGGTAATGCAATTGCTGGGTTATCGGGTAGTTTTATTTTTAATTTTTTGAGGAACGTCCATACTGTTTTCCAGAGTGGTTGCATCAGTTTGCATTACCACCAGCAGTGCAAAAGAGATCCTCTTTCTCCACATCCTCGCCATCATCTGTTGTTGCTTGAGTAGTTAATGTTAGCCATTCTGACAGGTATAAGATGGTATCTCATTGTGGTTTTGATTTGTATTTCCCTGATAATGAGTGATGTTGAGTAGTTTTTCATGTGTCAGTTGGCCATCTGGATGTCTTCTTTGGAGAAGTGTCTATTCATGTCTTTTGCCCATTTCTTCACTGGATTATTTGTTTTTTTGGGTGTTGAATTAGACAAGTTCTTTACAAATTTTGGATACTAACCCTTTATCTAATGTCATTTGCAAATATCTTCTCCCATTCTGTCAGTTGCCTTTTAGTTTTGCTGTTTCCTTTGCTGTGCAGAAGCTTTTTATTTGGATAAGGTCCCGATAGTTCATTTTTGCTTTTGTTTCCCTTGCCTCTGGAGATGTGTTGAGTAAGAAGTTGCTGCAGCCAAGATCAAAGAGGTTTTTGCCTGCTTTCTCCTTGAGGATTTTTATGGCTTCCTGTCTTATGTTTAGATCTTTCATCCGTTTTGGGTTTAATTTTGTGTATGGTGTAAGAAAGTGGTCCAGGATCATTTTTCTGCATGTCTCTGTCCAGTTTTCCCAGCACCACTTGCTAGAGACTGTCTTTATTCCATTGGATATTCATTCCTGCTTTGTCAAAGATTAGTTGGCCATACGTTTGTGGGTCCATTTCTCGGTTCTCTATTCTGTTCCATTGATCTGCATGTCTGTTTTTGTGCCAGTACCATACTGTCTTGATGATTACAGCTTTGTAGTACAGCTTGAAGTCCAGGATTGTGATGCCTCCTACTTTGGTTTCCTCTTCCAAGATTGCTTTGGCTATTTGGATCTTTTCTGGTTCCACACAAATTTTAGACTGTTTGCTCTAGCTCTGTGAAGAGTGATGCTGTTATTTTGATAGAGATTGCATTGAATATGTAGATTGCTTTGGGTAGTATCGACATTTTAACAATATTTATTCTTCTTATCCAGGAGCATGGAATATTTTTCCATTTTTTTGTGTGCTGTCTTCAACTTGTTTCATAAGCTTTCTATAGTTGTCAGTGTGTAATTTTTTCACCTCTTTGGTTAGATTTATTCCTTGGTATGTTATGGGTTTTGGTGCAATTGTAAATGAGGTTGATTCCTTGGTTTCTCTTTCTGTTGCTTCATTGTTGGTGTACAGGAATGCAACCGATTTGTGTGCATTGATTTTATATCCTGCAACTTTGCTGAATTCATGAATCAATTCCAGAGGTTTTTTAAAGGTGGAATCTTTTGGGTTTTCCATATAGAATATCATGTCATCAGTAAAGAGTGAAAGTTTGACCTCCTCCTGGCCGATTTGGATGCCTTTTATTTCTTTGTATTGTCTGATTGCAGAGGCTAAGACTTCTAATACTATGTTGAATAACAGTGGTGAGAGTGGACACCCCTGTCTTGCTCCTGACCTTAGGGGGAAAGCTCTCAGTGTTTCCCCATTGAGGATGTTATTAGTGTTGAGTCTTTCATATTTGGCTTTTATGATCTTGAGGTATGATCCTTCTATCCCTACTTTCTTGAGGGTTTTTGTCAAGAAAAGATGGTGTATTTTGTCAAATGCTCTCTGCATCTTTTGAGAGGATCATGTGTTTCTTGTCCTTCTTTTATTGATGTGATGCATCACATTGATTGTTGTGTGGATATTGAACCAGCCCTGCATCTCAGGTACAAATCCTACTTGGTCGTGGTGAATAATTTTTTTAATGTATTGTTGGATCCGGTTGGCTAATATCTTGTTGAGGATTTTTGCATCCATGTTCGTCAGGAAAATCAGTCTATAGTTCTTTTTAGTGGGGTCTTTGTCTGGTTTTAGAATCAAAGTAATGCTGGCTTCATAGAGTTTGGAAGTTTTCCTTCCATTTCTATTTTTTGGAACACCTTCAAGAGAATAGGTGTTAACTTTCCTTAAATGTTTGGTTGAAGGGGCGCCTGGGTGGCTCAGTCAGTTAAGTGTCCAACTTCGGCTCAGGTCATGATCTCACAGTTTGTGAGCTTGAGCCCCGTGTCAGGCTCTGTGCTGACAGCTCAGAGCCTGGAGCCGGCTTCACATTCTGTGTCTCCCTCTCTCTCTTCCCCTTCCCTGCTCATTCTGTGTCTCTCTCTGTCTCAAAAATAAACATTAAAAAAAAAAAAATGTTTGGTTGAATTCCCCTGGAAAGCTATCTGGCCATGGACTCTTGTTTTGGGGGAGATTTTTGATTACTGATTTGATTTCTTTACTGGTTATGGATCTGTTCAAATTTTC